AAAATGTCTCGCATTCCGAAAGTGGCGGGTTCCTCAGGCCATTCGAAGCAACTTTTTCCTTTACAAAAATTTTCTCCGAGGCACCGTTAACGAGATATTAACGAAAAACAGTGACCAATGAGAGGCGAGCTCGGCTGGCGCGAGGCGATCGAGCCAATGAGCGGAACTGGGCTTCGCGCGCTGGTTGGCTGGGCCGCCTCGCGTCAGCCGTACTCGATTCTTATTGGTCACTGTTTTTCGTTAATAACTCGTTAACGGTGCCTCGGAGAACATTTTTGTAAAGGAAGAAGTTGCTTCAAATGATCCGAGGAACCCGCCATTTCAGGATTGCGAGACATTTTTGGGACACCCTGTAGACTGTTGTAAATCGATGCGAAGACAAAAGAAGTGTGTAACAATGCATATAAAGACGATTATTTGGTTCAAACGATGAGCGAGTGAGCTACTAGAGCAAGCCACTATAGTGGCGCGTCGTCCAGAGAGACGACATCCGCGGAAGCCACTATAGTGGCGTGTCGTTCTAAAAGATGATATCTGCGGAAGCCATTATAGCGGCGCGTCGTGCCTAAAAGGTTAAAATATTCGACGTACCGGTTGTCACAGGATCTGAGCAAATAATTTCGCGATTTCCGAGTTAACGCCACAGTTGGCAGCAATAAATTAGCGACAATGTCACCAGGTACGGCAAGGACATTGACGAGGATGGTAAGAACGTGTTCTTCGAATGGGACCCGACGAACTACAAGAACGAGGCCCTGAAGGCGGAGGTGTACGAGCCGCGGAACGACAACTATCGCGCGAGCGTTCACAAGAGGATGCTGCACCCTGACGGGGTGGCCGTGTATCCGGTCTCCCAACTGTACACCCCGGAGAGCCAGAAGATCGCGCCGGTGGCGCTGAAGCCGGGCGCGCGGGCGCCGGTCCTTCAATACGCTCACCCGGAGCTGGGCGTGCAGCCGGCCAAGATCCTGAAGAACGAGAAGAAGCGTCCGGACAACTTCCCGGAGAATCAGTACTCGTTCACGGAGCAACGGCAGAAGAAGAAGTACGTGTTGAACGACAAGAACATCGTCGACAGCTACACGACGAAGAACTACTACCCGAACCAGCACTTCTACGGGCTGAAGAGGCCGAACGAGCCGCCGTTCTGGGTGAAGATATCCGAGAACCTGAGGAGCCAGTTCTCGAACGGGGTGGAGAAGATGTCGCAGCTCACCCGGCCGGTCATCGACCCCCTGGTGGAGGCTACGCACAAGATCTCTCAGAACCTTGGCCTGTCCAAGGGCAAAGAAGCTCAGGAGAAGATAGGCACCGTCGCTACCGGCAGCAGCATTCTGATCCCGGCGTTGGGCCTCGTGGCGTCGGGCGCTGCTCTGGGCATCGGGGCGGTGGCAGTGGGTAGATACCTTGATGTCGACGTTCTGAAGCGGTCGAACGACGAGATCGGGGCCGAGTTGGATTACCAGAGGGCTCTGGACGCTGATCAGCCGTTTCCAAGCAAGCTGGACCAGCCGAACAACGGGGACACCATCGGGGAAACGGTTTACTTCCTGGAAAACGCTGCTCGGACCGAAGACGCCGGTCAGAGAGCCGGTGGTGTCGGGTCTTCGAGCAACGAGAACGGCGTCCTCGTGATCCTCCAGGAGGATCAGAAGAAGGAGAAGACAGAGACCGAGGCGAAGAACAGAAGAAGACGGAGCATCGACTATCTGGACGTCTTCCAGGCGAACGGGAACCTGAGGAACCTAGTGCGGAGCAAGCGTTTCCAGCGGAAAGGCGCGGACTCCATCGGCGAGATCGTGGAGATCGATCTGCCGGCTCGAGGCGGGAGCATCGACGTGACCGAGCTGGTCATCCCGAGGAAGACAGCTTCGAGTGAGAGCGCGGGGAAGCGTGATAAGGAAGATGCGTCGATTCTGGTGGTCGAGGACGGCTCCACGCCGACGCAGCTTTTCAAGGATCGGTTCGACGCCGAGGTTTCCTATGGGAACGACAAGCTGTTGGGCGGGAACGACGTCGGCCGGAAACAGAGGAATTCCGTGGACGGAAGGGACGAGAGGAGAAGGCGAAGGAGAAGCGTGGACATCGACCAGGAACTGGAGGACGCTCTTCAGAATCTGGAGAACGCGGAGGTGGCCGAAGTGGGCCACATCGACGGTGACTGGACCAACACGCCTTGCGCGAAGAGGATATTCTGCGACGCGATGATCCAGAGAGACTCCGACGCGGTCATCATGATGGAGAAGAAAATGGCCGCGCTTCTGGGCCTGTGAGTACTCGGATGTTCTGTTTTTCATGGTGGCTGGTTTCTCTGTGGGAATTTCTTTTTACGACGTGAACCGACCGGGCCGCGTATTGCAAAATGGGCAGACGGTAATCTCGTTGTTCTATACTGGTGATATAATAATGTTGCCCTGGTTAGCATGCAGTTATGTAGCTGACTATGTTTGGCCGATGGATAACGCGCTTTCGTTTTCACGGAAACGGGCAAGCCGATGGGGAAAAAGCGGCACCGAATTTGGTGCTAGGCTAGGGAATGCCTTGGGGAGTTCTTTTCTTTGGCGTATTTTCATTAAAATGGCATATTCAATATTTTTTTATAATATAATAACCAAAGATAATTCGACTCACGTGAAGTGGAAGAAAATACTTGGACAAGAAAGAATATTTTTATGCTAGTGTATAACGATTTTTTCATCAAAGATTATGAAAATTGAAACAGAACGGTTTAAACAGATCCAATTGGCTATGATCGTCGTAAAATAATGAACCATTATAATTATCCGAAATAGAAAAACGAGGAACATTATCACGCATGATTTTGAAGCCATCACATTTAAAGCTTTCAATATACAGTCATAAGTGGACTGTACAAAATAATAGAAGTATATTCTAATGGTATATATTTCAATGTCAGTTTTTTTTCGTGGATGGACACGTACAAGAACTTACGAAGAACATTAATTTCTCAATAGAGCATCGATCATCTTGTCTTTCCGCGTATTTGTTATACGCGGTTCCCTACGATTTTTTAAGATGATAGGGATGATAAGCTGTATTTCCTTTTTTTTCTTTAACTTGTAATATACTTGAATATCAAACTTAACACCGATTCAGAGTAGATTTTCCAGTGAATAAACCATTTTGTGTTCGGGTTGATGGTAGACTGCCTGTTGCGTGTTGTGTGTTCTCGGAGGTAAACTCGGTGTGGGTGTGTTCTAAAATTGAGATAGTCGGATTCGTGGATTATTCAATTCTTGCGAGGAGTGAGGGAAACGGTCGTCCTGACTGATTGGTTTGCAAAATTATGAAAGTGACCGCCCCGAACTAAGGGTCGCCCGCAGGTAGTGCTCGCACCCTCGGGTGATGCACACGAAGAATCCGAGTGTCCCAAGAATTAGCCGTAGCAAACAATAGTCCGGAAAATGCCTTTTCTCGATGGAACATGCGTACCATAAAAAAAACGACTGGGAAATGACATTTGGTGACCAACTGTGAATCATAAAGGAAATACTTGAGTAGAAGACGGAAACGGCTTTTAACGAAATTGCTTACTACGGATGGTCTGGAATTTCGGTTGTTTTGTTCAAGTGTAAAAAATAAGCTATTTCTTTGGGCTTTCGGACCCTGGGTTATCCACATCTGGCAAGTTTCGTCTTCGAGGACATCATATTTCTTGATTTATAATGATTCATATATTATATTTATATATATTGTATATTATGTATATATTTATATATTATATAATAATAATATATTTATATATTATATTATATATTATCATATTTCCTTGATTTGTAAAGATTCCGTCATACAACGGAACACCAGGTTTATAGTGATCTTGATGATGAGTCTTTCCATAAAATCACAATAGACAGATCTGAGCAACCATACGGGGATTATTAAAAATAATATATGTAATCTAATCTAGACAGATTATTAATTTATTTGAAAAATGATAGATCGTATTTTAAGGAATCGAAAATGTTTTATAACGTCGATTGTTATGATTATAGCATGTTTTCCATTCACTTAGCGACCACGAAAACTCGACGAAATCGTGGCGATTTATTTAGCAATGCCAGTGCTAAGAAGTTAACATTTACGTTTAATTCCCTCCTCGAATTTCACACGTCGCGATCAAATTTGATCCATTCGATCGATTAGCGTAGAAATCAACTTTCAGGTTATCAAATAATTCTGTTAGCTAATTGCGAGAAGTATGACGGTCAACGTGTCAATTAACACTACAGTCTTGGAAGAAATCATCTATATTTGGGTATCAAAATTATTCTCCTAGATTTGGAATGTAATTTCTGCGCTGATTTATTTTTAATGGCGAATTTTTGCACGAGAGAACCGATAGTATAATTAACATCATTTTTAACTTCGTACTTCTTATTTTATCGCGTAAATTGCTTTGTCATGTTGGTCCTTAAAATCTATATTCGGGTACCAAAATTATTCCCTTAGATTTGAAATGTAATTCCTGCGCTGATTTATTTTTAATGGCGAATTTTCGCACGAGATAATCGACAAAATAATTAGCATCATTTCTAACTTCGTACTTCTTATTTTATCGCGTAAATTGCTTTGTCATGTTGGTTCTTAAAATCGAAATTCGGGTACCAAAATTATTCCCCCAGATTTGAAATGTAATTCCTGCGCTGATTTATTTTTCATGGCGAATTTTTGCACGACAGTAATAATTAACATCATTTCGTACTTCGTACTACTTTTTTATTTTATTAAGTAAATTGCTCCGTTACGCTGGTCCTTGAAATCGCAATTCGAATATCGTAAAGGAAACACAGTCGCCTCAAAGAGTATACTAACGGAATAAGATATGTTGGAATTACTCAAATATTAAAAAAAAAAATTAAAAAGAAAAGGAATTACTCAAGTTACTCAAGTTACTCAACTATATTAAATTTACTCAAACTTCTTACGATCTCTATTACAGTATATGCTTGGAAAAGAAAGGAGTATATCAACAAATCAAAATCAATACCAGCCCCAGAACAGTTTCCATTTATTTTTTGTCATTTTTAACAATATATAAAAAAGACGCTTGAAACAATAAACCCGGATCCATGTTGAATCTAAAACGATCTCCTTCACTCGTCGCTATCGCTGAATCTGTAGATCGTTCGAAGCGTGCCGCAGCTCTTTCGAGACACAGTCCAATTTTTTTCATCGGCGAAACACGGTCGAGAGAAAAAGGGAAAGGCAAGAAATGTTTTCGCGGCGGAAGAAGACGCAACGCTGGCTATTAGGAGCAAAACCGTCTTCCTTTGATTCGCGGCGCGCGTTCACGGGCTTTTCCTAACACGCGGGCCTTACTGTACGTGACGCGATACGCGCTGCATGCACGGAGTGAAACTGTGCTAAACCGAGAGGTAAAAGTCGAATCAGTCAGTAGGACGTCGTCGGCGAAAGCTGGAAGAAAGTTATCTGTTTCTCGCTACGGTTCCGTATGACCAGCGCGCCGGCTCCTCGATTTTTCGCGCCTCCCCTCGCCGATTCTAATTTTATGCACTCAGGCACATGTGACGGCAAAGTTCTCCATGTCGCCGCGTACTCGCGTACACGCGAACACCGGAGGAAGCCGGATCTGTCGTGGTTTCACTAATTTTTAACATATCCGACTTTCATTCGATGCTTCGATCGGTTTCCGCCGTTTATTAACTATTTGGAGCACGGCGGGATTAAAAATCGTGGGATTAAAAAATGTCCCATCTTTTTAATGCATGGCGCGGGACATTTTTAGACCCGACTGAAAATATTGCAATAGCTGTCCTTCAATAGCTATCCTGTAACAACAAATTGAATTGAATTATTATTATATTTTTATGTTTCTATATTATGTGATTCCTTTGTTAATGAAAAATATACCAGTTTTGTTTAATTAAAAATGCGATAACATTTCTGTGCAACGTGGGTCTATTCTATTTTCTGATATCCTGGGCCCCGAAGAGTTGGTGAACGAAGGGTTGATCGCAAACTGCGATGTCATGTGCATCTGATGGAACTATAAACAAGATTTACAACTCATTGCTTCTTTTTTTTATTTATTGAGCTATGAACCCCCCTTTATTTATTGAGCTATGGAGTTATTAGCAATATATTTTGTAATATATTATTATATGATATATAATTGTTATATAATAATATTACATAGTAATATAATAATAATGTATTACATATCAGATATTATAAATAATAATATATTACTATGTAATATATGACATAACCTTGACATATCAGATGTATATATTATTATTATTTATACATCTGATATGTAATACATTATTATTATATTACTATGCAATATTATTATATAACAATTATATATCATATAATAATATACATAATATGTAATAATATATACATGTAATATATCATATAATATATCATACAATATTATTACATATTACTTTGGATACATGAAACTTATCAAGTACTGTATCTAACCTGTCTCTTATACACATCTAGATGTGTATAAGAGACAGATATATCATACAATATTATTACATATTACTTTGGATACATGAAACTTATCAAGTACTGTATCTAAAGATTAAAGCTGTATATCGTGCTTTTTAAGGAATTTAAAAATTATTAACAATGATCGAATGTATGGTTTACCAAGTTGATCAAGTAAAGCATTCATAGCATTCATTTCGCAGTCATATAGTGAGCTACAACTCATTGTAACAGTATTATACATATCACCTGAATCTAGCATGAACAGCAAATAGTTTCCCCTGACATTGAAAACGTCGAAGTTCCTGCCGACGAAACGACAATTACAACATCGTTTTCCGTCTTCCGCAGGTGTTGCAATTAACACGTTAAACACTACGCTACCGGTTAACCCTTTGCACTCCGCAGTCCCCTCTCGTGGGACATCGTAATTCTAGCATATCACTCGGATGTCCCCTCTCGTGGGACATTCAAATTTATTAGTGATTACGGGGAATTCAGTTATTTCAGCGCAACTTTTTCAGACATATGCATGTTTCCCTGAAGTTTTCTCTGGAAATGGCACAAGAAATCAAATCAAAATATAGTAAAATTACTAGGATATATACAAGAAATGTCAGCGGGTTTTGACGAGAACGTGAAAGGCGTGCTCACGACGGTCCGAGCACTTCAAAGGCGCCA